ACCACTGCAAAGCCGAGGGGGTAGCAAGGGAGTTCCACCGCACACACCCTAGTCACACTTAATAAGGCGAAAGGAAGAACTTTCCTGCAGAAGAAGGCTAACAATGTGCCAGCTAACAAGGAGTGAAAAAAAAACCTAGACCCAATAACGGCAAGCAAGCAGCCTGGGAGAAATGTTGGTGCGCCATTTGCTAACTGAAGAGCTGGCAGCGCTAACAGCAGAATGCCTCACCAGCCAAAAAACACCCCTTAGCCCAGGACAAGACTGAAAGTCCAAGACCCCCAGCTTACCCCAAGAGCATGGACCACCACAAGCAAGGAAGCCCCCTGATGGGAGTGTTTCCCAAACACCTCAGGAAACGGAACCCCTGAAAGCACAAGGGGTATAGAGTGTATATGGAAGTTAACATTGAACTCATGCAGCTCGTGTACACTGAACCCGTGACCTATGCACAAAGCCTTATAGAACAGCCTAAAAGAGGCAAAACACCACCAAAACAGGAAGGAGAGGCCAGAGAGCACCGATAACCTTCAGGCACAAACATCAGTCAAGAACTAGCTGGTCCAAAGTCCAAACTAGCTGGTCCTGGCAGAACCCGGGCTGTCTCCCTCCTTTTCCCATTGAGGGGGGGGGGGTGGAGGCATCGAGCTAGGAGCTGAGTTGACAAAGTTTTGGTTGTTTGTTTTCCTTAGAGGGAGTTCCTTTGATAGTGTGGTTTTGTGTCTTGTATTAAACCATGCGGTGGTTTGTTTTGAGACACCTACCTTTCTGGGTGCCTTCCCTGATCGATCGCAGAAATGATAAACTTTAAATGTAAAGTATTCATGTGTCATTGCTCCCTGCACCTCTGTGAGGGGGCCAGGTTCTCGCTTGTGGTTCCCAGTAGGCAACAAGAACTTTGCGACTGATGATTCAAAGTAGTATGGCACTTAATCAGTAAGCTAGTTTTAGGGTTCAGGGAGCCAACAGGGCTTTCCTCAGAAAATTTAATAAAGGTTCAAAATCCAAATATTATTAAACTTTGGTATTCACTACAACACAACTACCTCCCATATGAACAGTTTACACCAACAAAAACTATATAAATATTGTAATCTATGATGACTGATGTACACAAGGTCTGGTAATACCTGAGGCCACTGTGGGTGTGACACTAAAATTATGACAATTTTATGACCCAAGCAAATGATCAAATATTTTTCAATTTATTTTTCCACGTATATATTAAATCAAGAGCAATTCTGACATGAGCAATACTCATTACATCCTAATTTTATATACAATGGCTCTGAGACTTCTCCTGTCTGACTTACACAAGATGTTTCAATTGAAAGCTTCTATTTTCTCTTTTCAGAATAAATACATTGTTTGAAAATTTATTTACATTTCATGCGATATCAAATTGTATATCTATCCTATCTCAAGCGCTAATTCCAAAATTTATAGCACAGAGATCCATATAAATAGTATGCTTATGAAGACACATTATCTTAATATGGCCCTTCATTGTAAACTAGCATATTAAAAGAAAACACCAATAAGCAAAACTGGTACACTTCAGTTCCTAAAACTGTGCTATGAGATTGTATATAATATACTTTAACAATCTCTTAACATAGCTAAAACAAATTTAACACACCAGTGTTATTAATTGGTTTTCTTTAACTATATAGCCATATATGTATTATGGTACAATTATAGATTGTAAAATATACCCACTGAAGACGTATCATGCAATGTACATCCCACAAACAAAGAAGAATTTCAGATAAAACTTACCAATTTAATGACACTTGTAGAAGTCATGCATAAAGACCAACTGCATTTATTAAAAAAAAAAGCATTGAATGCAATGAAACCTTTCTTCTTTGTTATCTCACTGAGATTGCTCCCCACTAATGGATCACAACAGTTGCAGAAGTTCTATTTGGTCTAGTGGGGACCACGGCCAGAATCTTGCCCCCTCTGAGAGGCGTTGAGAGTGGGGTGACAATTTGCTACCCCACAAGGAAAGCATCCAGAAAGTCAGTGAAGCTTTACAGACAACTGCAAGATTCACAGAAAACAAAGCATCAAAATACCAAACAACTATGCAAATGATTCAAACGAAACAAGTTGTTCACTCAAAACTAGCTTGAACCAGTTAGTATCAATAGCCACCACCAGGCAGCCTGTGCCCCAACCCACAGCTGAGCAGCTTGGAAGTGAGAGAGGAAATCAAGGAGCCACTCGTGCTCTACCATAAAGAGGCATTTCATTTCATTTAATGCTAGGTTTCTGGGGAGCCCCTAGGTGGTTCCCTGAAGCTAAATAACCATATAGCAAGGAAACAAGGGACTTCCAGGGAGAAGGAGAGGCCGCAAGTATTAAGAGTAACATAAACTCAACTTAGACTCTGGATGTTAACCAAATACTGGGTCACCATGACCCCTGTTAGAATACCAAAACCCCCAGAGCTCAAATACCGGAGAAGACATACTGAGAAGACAAAGCCTAAGACATACTGGAGAAGACTGCCACCAATGCAGTGTACTTGTGAACAACATGGGCTTGAGGGTAAACCACAGGCTGGCTAAACTTAACAACAATGCAGATGTCCTGGGAAATGTGAGCTTTTGAACAGGAAATGAAAGAAACAGGATCAACCAACAATGTATAAGCTGAGGCAGAACCAATGGCAGAACCAATGAATGTCCTGTGGTAATATCAAAGAGCCATCATTAGACATAATAAGTGATGCACCCATGGCAAGATCAATTAAGCAACTATCACCAAATGACCCCTCAGGAAACCAACCGACTCATTCTCTGCCAGACAAGATGGAGAAGGCTGCAGATGAACAAAACACCAAACAGGGCCAAAGAAATAAGCCCAACTACAGAGAAAGGCATGAAGCCCCTCGCACAGAAGTCAAAGGTGAGACCCAACAAAAACACCGACTTTAAAAAAACATCTCTGGCTGAAAGGGAAACCATGAACCAAGAAAAGGAAAGAAACACGAAAACCCACTCAAGAGACTTGGACAGGTCAGGAGGAGCAAGAGCAATGTAAAAGAGAAAAATGCAAAAGGAATCAGTTATGAAAAATGCAAAAGCTGAAGCCGAATCAATGCTGAATGCACAGTCTGTTCTCACGAGCATTCTCAACATCAAAGGACTGTCGTAATAAAGTGCCCAATCCTAATTTACCAGAAAACGCATGCATCCCCACTGCATGCAGAGGTAATGCTGAGACCACACCGACGTGATGAGGGCAATGTCCAGGTGCCCAAACATATGGCAAAGCCACAGGAAGGAGGTGGTCAAACGTGAACAGCACAGAGAGCCAAACTCCTGAGAACCCAGCAGAGGAGTCACTTGAAGAGACCAGCTCCAAAGAAATGTGAACCGCTGAGAACCCCTCTGGTTGAGACAATGAACCATGGGGGAACAGTCCAAATTGATCCAGATCACAGAGCCTAATGGAATCCAAACTCTCTGCAGAGCCCGCCACATGGCTGCAAACTTCCGAACTGTACTGTGAGCCCAACAAAAGGCCAGAGAGTAATGACCCTGGCCGAATTGGTGAGTGCTGATAACAAAACCCAAGTCGAGAGCAGAAGCATCCGTGAAAACTTGAGCGAGGGCAGACGAATGGGCCAGGGAACTGAAGCCCAAAAAACTTGAGGAAGCTGGCGATGCAGCAGTCAGCACAGGGCTTTGGGAGCACAAACCCAGCAGTCGTTAGAGTGGCAAAAGGGGCTGTTCCAAAGGATCCAGAACAGCTGGCATAACCAAACCCTGCCCAGAGAGAAAACATGAAGGGCAAAGTTCAATCTCCTGTACAACTGTTCGAGCAACTGCCGAGTCACCCAGCACCCATGCAACACTGAGAAGCAAAGCTGAAGCCGGAGCAAGGCTATCAGAGGTAGGGAAAGTAATGCCAACCAAGAGTCATAGACGAGGCCCAGCCAAGTCTGAACCTGCGATGGAACTAACTGGGATTTCTGCCAGTTCATCAGGAATTGAAACCCAGCAAGCAGAGAAAAAACTTGATTCCTCACTAGTAGACATGCAGACTGGCTGGGAGCTCACGCCAGCCAGTCGTTGAGGCAGGCCAACAGGCAAACACCCAGTAAATGAAGACGGGCCACCACGACCAAAGCCAAACCTCTGAAAATGTGAAGGGCCAGATTGAGCCCAAACTGAAGAACTGAAAGTGGAAAACCTGTTGCCCCACAACAAACCTAACCAATCCTTGAACCTCGGATGGAGAGATGTGTGCCAGTACGTGTCCCGGAGGTCCAGGGAGATCATCAAATTGCTCGGCTCGAGAAGGAGACAGACTAATGACAACCTTTTTCATCCAAAGGGAGGGCCAAAGAATGAACTGGTCAACCCAGACAAGTCGAGGATGTTGGCAGAGTTGTTTGGCTGTTTTGATAATTCATTTCCTGTGAACCTTGCAACTGTATGTAAAGCTCTGCTGACTTTCTGGATGCTTTCCCAGTAGAATGGTGGAATGTCATACTCTCTATGCCTCTGTGAGGCTAGATTCTGGCTCTATTCTCTGGTAGGCCAAACAAAACTCATGTGGCTGATGCAACCTTGTAGTGGCAAGCAATTTCAGTGAGATAGCCTCAACGAGCCACCAAGGGACTCCCCTAGAAAAACATCTTTTATATATCATAAATATTTTTATATAAACAGTTTCGTAAGTTGCACTTCACACTGTTCTCTTCACAAAGGAAGCAAATGTGTAACCTATCTAATCTGTTAACTTGCAAATTAAAAAAAATTAATATATATATATATATATATATATATATATATATATATATATATATATATATATATATATATATATATATATATATATATATATATATATATATATATATATATATATATATATATATATATATATATATATATATATATATATATATATATATATATATATATATATATATATATATATATATATATATATATATATATATATATATATATATATATATATATATATATTATAATAATAGACCCTGCATTCACATAGGAAAATATATATTTGCAACTATGAAGAAAATAAAATGTCTCTATAAACCAGTTGCCATCAACAAAAACTCTGAGAAGCAACAAACTTGTGTGTAGTCACCGGGGTAAACATTCTGTGTATTGTGAAACAAACAAATATTGAAATATACATAATGGCATCAAACTTATCCTAACTACTGCAGATATCCACAGTGCCACACACATCCTAACCATCAGCTTTGTACTCCTGTTACCTTACATCTTTCTTAATCCTAACAGAGGTAGAAGAGGGCTTTAGTCTTGAAGAATAATTCATTATCTTAAGCAATATAACTATAAAATTCCAGTGAAAAGATAAAAAAATATGATAGGAGTAGAAGAAGCTATACCTACAGGAACTACACAAACACAATGACTACTGCAATACACTATAAACTTGGGGATTTTACCAATCAGGTACTTCGTTCCAAATGTGACTGAGATTTTGCTGGGATTGTTTATAATGCAAATGTAAAGTCTTCTCTGGTAAGTTATTCTATGTAAGAACTTTGAACTTAAGAATTCAGATGCATATCAAACTCTTACATAACTTTAATATTAAATACTGGGAGGTGACAATGACGGTCTTTCCAGTAAAATTTAACAAGTTTCTGGAGCATAACTTCACAAGACTCAATATTGCAGCAGACACTTAAAATTAATCTGGCACTATATTTAAGTAATGAAAATAAGCAATTGGATCACCCCATAAGGAAAAGGATATAAATGCCAGTCTTCTTCATACCTCTTCAGCAAAATGTTATGCAATTTCAACATTTTGCTGCTAATTTTCAAAAACATAACCTGTACATATCATGTTAAATAAAAAGAACCCTGCCTGTTTTATAATTAACATTACTTTCCTGTGCACTTAAATCTTCCCTGCACTAATCAAGGTACTTCTCTGCTTATATCACAGATCCCACACCATTTACTGAGGGAACACTTCATCAAATCCTGGCAGTGAGGGAAGAAGCGAGGCAGTTGTGGTGACTGCGGCACTAGTGGTTGTAGCAGCAGTAGTGACAGCAGGGACTCCACTTCCTGAGAGCTGGGATACTGGCCCCGGGGACAGTAGGGACCTTCCAGAAACACCTGGTGACTCACTTGAAAGAAGAGTTACAGGTAAAATTCCTTCCTGGCTAAACTCTGCACTCTGAGAACCAGGTAAGAGAGATCTGGTTTCTAAGGGATCTCTGGAAAAACTGGTTCCATGCACTAATAAAATAGATTCTTTTTGTTCTTCCTGTGGCATGCGTAATAGAGCTGACTCTAGTAAGCTGCGCTGAGACTCTCCTTCCTCAGCACGATGTGTTGTTGGATCTAGTAAGGAGGGACCCGTTAAGCTGATAGATCCTGAAGGTAAATACATTCCAAGTATTTTGCTTAAATCATCTCCCCCAGGACCAATTTCTTCCATACTAGGTTGAAGTTCTGGTTCTTCTTTTATAGTTTCTTCAAAGATTCTAAAATCTTGCTGGAATGATGGTGAGATGAAGTGTGTCTCCCCTGTTGGCCCCATAAGACCAGTAGCACCAGAGAGACTGGATGGACCAGGACCAGACAGTCCAGATGGCCCTGCCACTGGCTCTGGTAATAGAACCATAGGCAAATGATGAGTTCCCGAGGTAGGTGGGGGAGATGAAGTCACACTTGTATTAGGAGAGAGTGCCTGTGGCACAGAAGACGTAGATGCAGCACTAAATTCTAGACCTTCCATACGGCTCAAATCTGAAATTCCATGGCTTTTCTTAATATGCCTAACTAAGTGATCTTTTCTTCCAAATTTCTGGGGACATAAGCTACAGCTAAAATCTCTCTTTCCAGTGTGAACTACTAAATGACGTTTAACATCCTTTCGTGTGAAAAACCGGCGATCACAGTGATCACATGGAAATTTCTTTTCGCTAGGACTTTTCACTGATCTAGATCCCACATGAACCTTAAGGTGATAAATTAGGTCTGGCTTTGTTTCAAACATTTTCTGACAAATTTTACACTGTAGATCTCCTTCTTCTGCAGCATGTACTGCACAGTGTTTTCTATAGGACATATAAGAATTATATTCTTTACCACAGTCAGGCCTTTCACATTTGAACTGCTTGCTAGGGTCATGAATCTGAATGTGATTCTTTAAGTGATCTTTACGATGAAAACTACGATCACATAAAGGACACTGATGCTGGCGTTCAGTAGTATGTATTAACTGATGACGCACTAATTTGAATCTAGACGAAAATGCTTTGTGACAGAGGGTGCAAGAGAAAGGTCTTTCCCCAGTGTGAGAGTATGAATGCTGTTTTAGCTTTCCAGGGCTATGAAACACTTTCTGACAAACGTTACAGGAGTAAATGCTTCCACGGCCTCGAGGGCTGGACCGTGGACTTCGTTTCTGAGGTGATAAAGTTAACACTTCAGATTCTTCAGAGTCACTTGAAGATGCAGGGGAGGCAAGTTCCTCCTTTAAGAGGGATTTCGTTGTATCAGACTCTTGCTGGTGCAAAACACCTCTAACAGCTGACCTCTTACCTGACGTTGAGGGTGTAGGAATAATCTGACCCCCACCTCGTTTGGCAATCTTCTTGCCTTGCCTACCTCGACTACTTGGAGTTTCACTTTTGGAGGTTTGAGGAGTCCTTATACAGCGATGGTTTGTCAGACTAGCAGCACTACTAAACACAACCTCACACCCACGACATCGAAATCTCTGACGAGTACGGAACTGCCATGAAACACCCTCCTCTGAAAATATTTAAATAATTTACCAAACAATTAAAAATACACTTTTTTGTATATTCAAGGTGAAAGATCACGTCATGTGATCTTGAAATGAAAAAAAAGCATTAAATGTAATGAAACACTAGTTTTTGAGTGAGCCCTGGAGGCTCCCTGAAACTATACTGATTAAGTCCCATACTACTTGGAGTCATCAGTTGCAGAGTTTTTGCATGTCTACTTGGGCCCCACAAGTCAGAACCTGTCCCCCCCTCAGAGAGGTGTAGGAAGCAATGAATATTAACACTTTACATATAAAGTTTGTCATTTTGCCATCGACCAGGGAAGGCACCCAGAAAGGTAGGTGAATCAAAACAGACTACTGCCTGGTTAAAAAATGCAACCAATGTCCTCAAATCAACAAATAACTCCTTGACAAAGAAATCAAACAAGCAAAACTTTGTACAACTAACCCTCCGCTCGTTAGCTCCACCTCCCCTACATTGTGAGGAGGCAGGAGCCGTCGTGGCTCACCCGGGCCGTCTCCCATTTTGCCTAAATACTGAAATGGAAGCTTGACAGAAGCAGTTTCGAAACCAAAAACATGGAAACCGTGTCCCGGAGGATCGGAGCAGCTCCAATTAGGCAGCCAATGCCTCGACAGCTGAAATCAGAACTCCGGCCAAAGGCCCCCACTCAATGTCTTCACATCCTTCAAAATTCAACAATTCAAGAAGACCAAAAACCCAGCATTGAATGTTATGAAATGCCATTTTCTGGGCGAGTCCCTGAGGCTCTCTGGAGCTATCCGGGCTAAATGGGTATGTATAACTTTCTGGCATCAGTCAAAGTGCTTGGAGTTCTTGCCTAACAGGGACCACGAGCAAGAACCTGGCCTCCTCAGAGAGAAACGAGGAGCAATGGCCTACAGAAACCCACCTGTGGTTGGGAGCGTTCTATGTCTGCCATTGACCAGGATAGGCACCCAGCAGGTAGGCCCCCAAAACAAATGGATGCCGGGGAGCCTCCGGGACTCACCCAGAAAATAGCGTTTCATTACATTCAACGATGGTTTTCTGAGGGGAACCCCGTCGGCTTCCCGGAGCTACCTCACCAAAGATAAGGAAAAGAGGGAAGGATCCAGGAGGTGGACGCCACGCACCCTAACACAAAAACAAGACCACAGACGAAACTAAAGGACCCTGCAGACGACCCGGGAGACCCGGACCCCAGAACAGGAAGGAGGGAAGGAAGGAAACCCAGGCAAACCAAAACGCAGAGGCCAAGACGGGCAGAAAACAGCGAAGAGCCGCAACCGAACAACAAATGAAGCACCCCCGGCCTGACCAACGAAGCAGCAACCCAAGGACCCCTCCGGAAATCAGCAGACCCAAACATCATCCGAAAAGATGGAGACTGCAGCAAACAAACAACCTACCACTATGACTCAACGAGACAGAAAACACATGGGCGTCGGAGGAGAGCCGGAAACTCCCTGACTCGAACCCCCAGAGGTCAACGCCAACAGAAAAAGGAGACCTGAAAAACAAAACAAAAACACACCAGAACCAAAGGGATCATGACAAACTGAGGAGAAGAAGAAAAAGAGACCACCCAGGCCAACAATCAGGATGGCGCTGGAAGCGCAAGAGCAGGCCGGAGGTGAAACAACGCCCAAAACAGCAAGCGAAACGGAGCAGAAGGAACAGCAACACCGAACGCAAGCTGGAGAGACACTGCCAGCGCCACCCAAGACGAGACTACAGTACACAGCACCGTACGACGGTCCCAGAGCAACACCGAAGGGAAAGACAAGACAACCCAATCAGAGACCGAAGAACTCTTCGCAGTGATAGCAAAACCAGAAGGACTGCCAGGAAACAACACACTGCTGCCGAGACGAAGCATGCAGTTGGGAGACCAACAACGAAGCCACCAGTACTCATACAAGCGACGAGAAACTCGAGACAAAAACCCGTGATGCAAAGACTCGAGGGGAAGAACGAACCAGCCTCCAGAAGGGAAAGAAACGCCACCAGAGAAACCAAGAATCCAATCCCGGCGAGCCGGAAGAAACCAACCTGGGCGAGTAGATATGCTCCGTCCGGGAGGAACCCTCCCCCCCCCAGGACCCCTGAAGGATCAACAAGGCCAAACACCGAAGAGCCAGGGTCCAGGCAGAGGCCAACAAGGAAAACAAACACCACAAACTAAAGTGCGAGATGCGAAGTGAAGAACAGTGATCCCGCAACCCGAAGGAGCAGCGCAACCAGCTCCAGCAGGGAAGAAAGATACACGCGCCTCCGAGGTATAAATGAGGAGAATTACGCAGGACGTGTACCACAGGAAAATAAAAATGTACGTTCTGGAAAAGAAAAGCCGTAGCCAGGACCGGAATCCTAGCTACCCCTGTCCCAAGAAACGGAACCAGCAGGGCAGGAGTGGTTGACCGGAAGTCCACAACCACCGGTAGACATTGCACCACAGAAGACCACAGTGAGATACAAGGAAAAAGTGAAAGAACTCGGTACCAAAACTGAACACTGGGATAGTCCAAAATCAGGGAACTGAACATGGACAGAGGCCTTACCCCAGCTCCTAGCATAAGTATAGCCAATAAGCACCGACCAAGATACACAATCATGTGTAGCAAGAGGGAGGAAACGGAAATAGGCAAGGAAGAGACCCGAAATAAGGACCAAGTAGCAGCCGGTAATGCAATGAACATGACCAACCACATCGTGTGTTGTAGTTGGTCGCACATATACAGAGGGACATCATGGATATAAGGGTGCAGCCAGGCACCGAAGATAGGCAAGGAAAGAGTGTCCAGAGATTAAAGACCGAGGCAATGAATAAGGACACAGAAAGAACGGACCCAGGGAACAAAGTAGTGTCCAAATATCGAGAAAAGACCCTGGGGCCGAAAAACTAAACAAAAAGCACCGAAATTCAGAGATGTGCCCCACATTACAACTAAGAACATGACACACAGACAAAGTAAAGTCACTGTAAGACACACGCAAAGTGTTTAAGCAAAACACACAACACCTAACACCCTATCAAAAAGCGAGAACCAGCACCTGGCCGACGATCGCCAGACAGTACAATATCACCTGCAAAACAGAGACACTACCATGTCACAACACAGCTGAGCCATGCAATATAACAGGAGCTTCCCTAGTAGAGAGAGTCTAGAGGTGTGTGCCCAGTTGGAGAAGACGAGGTGCATGCAGTACAGAGGCGGAGGAGGCGCCACACAGAGCCACCCCACACTCGCAAGCCGAGAAAAGAACTAGAAGATTGCTTCACACATAACATCCAGAACACCCCGAGTATCCAGGGGTTATGACCGGAGATAAGAGGAGCGAAAACGGCGCAGAATCCATAAGAAAGAATGCAGAACATCAACACGTGAGTACACTGCCCAAAACAAAACAAACCCCCCCTCCAGCCCTTGCGCCTGAGGACCGAACCACACACCCGTCTTCCGGGAAGGGCGTCAGCAAGGCGTATGGAAAGAAAAATAGGAATGGCAAGACAGGAAGGAGAGACAATGTATTCACCTACCTAGCTGTATTCACCTAGCTGTGTTTGCGGGGGTTGAGCTTTGCTCTTTCGGCCCGCCTCTCAACTGTCAATCAACTGTTTACTAACTACTTTTTTTTTTTTTTTTCCCACACCACACACACACACACACACCCCAGGAAGCAGCCCGTGACAGCTGACTAACTCCCAGGTACCTATTTACTGCTAGGTAACAGGGGCATTCAGGGTGAAAGAAACTTTGCCCATTTGTTTCTGCCTCGTGCGGGAATCGAACCTGCGCCACAGAATTACGAATCCTGCACGCTATCCACCAGGCTACGAGGCCCCCATAGGGGCCTAACTAAACAATGCGAAAACAGAATCAAAAGAAGACAAGAAGCACAGAAGAGGACCAACGAGTCCGTGAAAGGACTAGAGGGAAGCCTCACCGGAAGTCAACAGACTCACTAAGGAAGAGAGCCCAATGGTCAGACCCATAGGGCATGGATGAAGGAACAGGTTTGAATGTCTCCGCCACCACCCCGGAAGAGGAAAATCCCCGAGACAGCCAGAGTCTCCAGCCAACCAGACCCTGCATTAACCCTGAAATCACCGACAATTCGGAGCTGGAAGCAAGGGGAAGGAAGTATGCACAACAGAAGGGGAAAGACTAGGAGGAACGGACAGAACCAGAGCTGAAGCGACTCCCACCCCCCAAATCCGGATCCCAATAACCAAAACGGGGCAGTCTTGGGGCATCCGGGACCGCAACCAACCTAGCGCGTTGCAGCAACCTAAACCTAGCATGCAACGCCACAGCTGCCTGAACCCGCACATCATGATCAGTGGCTTGGGTAAACGGGAGCACATACAGAAAAAAGCACCAGGGCCCTTAGCCTTGGTTACATGCTAAGGGAAGCCCAGGCAGGGTTACCTTGAGGTTACCTTGAGGTGCATCCGGGGCTTAGTGTCTCTGCGGATCGGTCATCGACCAAGTCTGCTGGTTGCTGGACTGGTCAACCAGGCTGTGGGACACGGCTACTCGCAGCCTGACGTACGAATCACAGCCTGGTTGGTCAAGTATCCTTTGGAGGTGTTTATCCAGTTCTCTCTTGAACACTGTGAGGGGTCAGCCAGTTATGCTTCTTATGTGTAGTGGAAGCGTGTTGAACAGTCTCTGACCTTTGATGTTGGTAGAGTCCTCTCTCAGAGTAACTGTTGCACCTCTGCTTTTCAATGGGGGGTATTCTGCACATCCTGCCATGCCTCCTAGTCTCATGTGATGTTATTTCTGTGTGCAGGTTTGGGATCAGCCCCTCTACTATTTTCCCACGTGTAAATTATTATGTATCTCTCCCGCCTGCGCTCAACTGCTCAGGTTTGTGCGCGGTTCGCAGGGTACTGCGAACCGGCGCCCAAGTCTACCAAAACAAATTCTAAAAGCTGAACCACCGGGACGTGTCCACTCACAGAGGCCAAGCAGAAGTACCACCAAAACA